TGATAAACTTTCTAACTTGAGATATCAGCCAGGATTGCATTTAGCTACGAGTAATAGAAGGAGTCCTCTCACAAGGAATTCGAATTGGACAGACCAGGGCTAAGGCAGGAATGTCATCAAAGACCCGAGCTACTTCTGTCTCTGTGCAGGTATGCTCAGTATGTGGCTTTCATCTTCAAGGTTGCAAGGTAGCTGCTGGACCTCCAGGCATCAATCTGTGTTGAGGGAGGGTGGCTTTTGTCCTGGTGAGGCTTTGCTTTTTCAGTTAAAAGGGAAGCCCCACCCCCAGGTACTTCTGCTTACACCTTATTGGTCAGAATCTGTCACATGGTCATGCCTAGCTGCAAGGGAAGCGGAGCATTTTGGTGAATTTGTTTTCTAGCCTCTCTAGAGGAAAGCAAGGGGGAGGAGTTTAGGATGGCAAGAAAGTAAAAATTTCTCCGGAATCAGACTTGTACATTATTCAGTGCAAAGGCCTGTGGTTTAGTGTTTCCTCTTCTCTCTTCATCGGGTGAGGACCAGAAATTGGGGCTAATTCCCCCAGATTGGTTGGAGGGGTAGGCATACGTCCTACCATGGCTTCGGAAAGGTCCTACCTGTCAGTTCGCAGATTTCTCCAGCAATGGCGGGCTCCACTCTGTATCTGCATTTTGTGGACGGGGATTGGTAACTGCAGGAGGCTGAACATAGCTGGGTGCGAGGGATAAGCTTCACACACTACTCTCCTGCTTAAGTGTAGGTGGGGGCTGAAAGGTCACCCAATCGATAAACGAATACATGTTCTCTTGAGGAGGAACACACGGGACTATTTTCACTCTTCTGGAAATTGTGATTAGAAAATTCAAAGAGAAGTAAACCAGAGCTGGCAGGAAGGAGGACCAAGCCCCGCTCAGAATGCCTGGAGAGTCCCTGCCAGAGCCTTGGGCCAGAGCCTGGCCTTGGCCTTGGTCCTCACTGGCTTCCCTGTGGGTAAGGGAACTGCCTGGGGATTCCCCATCATTCGAGAGCTCTTTGAGTGACCCTCTTTCGGCCCCTCCAGTAGGGAATTTCCCAGAATGTTCCCACACCCCCATGAAGCCTCTTCATTAACCACCCCCGAGCTGCTTGTAGTTCATGACAGGGTTGGCATCAGGCAGCTTCACAGGTGAGGGTGAATTGTGAACCTTATCGCCCGGACTGGCAAGAAATGGAAGGTGAAATGGCAAAGCCAACAGGGCTGAGGCCTCACAGGATAATTACCAAACGTCATACGATGTAAACAGATGTCAAAGGCAAGAGAAAATGGTGGGCACAGACTCTGAAGCCAGACTGCCTCCTTCTAGTCCTGCTGCTGCAACTTACGAGCCAGGCGACCTTGAGCGAATTACTTAACTTCTCTGTACCTTAGGTCGTCCTCTTCTGTAAAATGTGTCTGATAACATTATCTACCCGATAGGGTTGTGGCAAAGATTAAATATGATAATAACTAAAATACTTTGAAAAGTGATTGATACGTGGCAGCATTCAATAAAAATTATTACGTCAAGCTAGATTATTCTTTTACAAAATCGATTTCCACTCATTTTTCTCGTATAAATTGAGTCTACATCCCTCTGCTCCCAACAGCCTTCTCCCTGACACTCACGTGCACCCCTTCCCAACGAGTGGGGGTTGGAGGTTAATACGCTCAGTTCGGACTCTGAGATATTCCAGAGGTGAAGAGGGCTTGGAGAGCTTCTAAACTCATGGTTCCTTCTCATGGTTGGCAGTGTTCACGGCACATTAGGGGATCCCCTGGGAGCCTTTAACAACCCAAATGCCCAGGCTGTACCCGAGACTGCTTAAACCAGAATCAGGCACTGGTATTGGTAAGGTTCCCCAGGGATCCCACTGATCTCAATGTGTGGCCAAGGTTGAGAACCACTGTTGAGGTCCAGTCTTCCCGTTCTAACAGGAACTGGGGCTCAGAGAGTGAAAAGAGAGTCATGGGGCTCACCCAGCCAGGACCCCGGTCCCCAGTTACTGCGGATGGAGCCCACTGTTGTTGTATGTTCTGGACCTCACTGTGCATGTGGAAGAAGGTCTGGCCTTGAGTGAGCCCTCTAAAAGCGTAGCTGGATGGATGATTCCCTCCCAACTCTGGGCAGGAGGCAGATGATCAGCTCTGTGACTGGAAAGTATGACTAACTCAGGCTTCCAGTGCGGTGTCTAAAGATCACCCAAATCAAGACCTTGTTTTCTCTTGGGAGACTGTAGGGCAGTTGAAGACTTCTTAGTGATCTCCAAAGACCTTTGGTCACGTAAGTTACCAGTCTCTTGGGGGAAGCACTGGGTATGCTAGAAGAATGGGGCTGAGGGCGGGGAAGCCTCCAGCCGATCCCTGCTCTGCATAACCCTGTATGGTTATGGGGCCTTGGGTCAATCGCTAAAGTATCTGAACCTCTGAGAAAATAAGTGTCTTGAGGCAAATTCCAAAGCCTTTCCTCGTAGCGGCTGCTGCCACCAGCCTGTAATCATTTGGAGGGGGTGTTTGGGGTAGGTTTGTCCCAGGGTCTCAGTTGGCCTCATCTGAGAAGTGGGAATAATGGTAGCCAGCTGGCCTCAGCGTGTCCATCTCAGGGTTCCTGTGAGGAGCCTGAGGGCCCCAAGTGAATTCCAAAAAGTGGGAAGCAGCTTCCAGGGAAGCCCAGACTCACTGTGAGCCAGCTCACTGCTCCCTGGCTGCAGCAGAAGACATGCGTGTGAGAGGCTGACATTTCCTTCCCAAACATTCTGCTCCCGTCCCCCCTCACTGAGTCCTAGATTGCTAGCTGCCACTGGGAAGTTAAGGGAAGTCGGGGGATGTGATCCTTGCTCCTCCGAGTTAACGGCCTTTGCCAGCTGTCCCCGTGTGAGTCCCTTCCGGGGCATGACTGCCCCAGGGAGGGTCAGAGTGGACCAAACGTTGGCAGGTGGGGACATGCTGGGAGGAGGCCCCAGATCAGCCACTTCCTTCTACAAGGGAAGTCAAACTCTTCCTCTTGCCAGTGTCTGGCTGGCAGTGAGGCTGCTGGGCTGGCAGGGCTGGTTTCTCTGGGGCCCTAGCAGGAAGCAGTCTTGCTTCCCGAGGTAAAGAGGAGTTTCTTGTCACAGGGGGTTGTTTTCTGGTTAGAGGCAGCGGCAGTCGTGACGCCCCATCCTAGAGCTCTGGGATCTGCAAGGCAGGGGGGGCGGGGGGCGGGGAGAGAAAACTAGAGAGAGCTCAGCAGAGCTTGCTCGGGGAGGAAGAACCTGCTGTCACTTCCCGAAAGCTGGGCCTGCCTCTAGGCGGGGAGAAGGTCAGAGCGCGGTTGGTCCCTGTGGCCCGCCCACCCTACCCCTCCCTTCTGCCTCGGGGTTTGCCCAGGCTCTTCAGAGCACAGAATTTACAGTAAACGTTGTCACCAGTGGAAACTCTCAGAGGAGGCGAGGAAAAGGGCTAGAGGAAGGGGCCAGGACTCCCGGCCCCCAGTTCCCGTCTTACCAACCACCCCCCACCCAGTCTCATGTGTTGCTTTCTCTTACCTTTCGGTAAAGAGGGGATGCCCTGCCTCCGGGATGTGCCTGGAAACAGCCAACTGGCGAGATTAGCGAGAGCCAGCCGTACCTTGCCGAAGAAGCCAGTGCCTCTGACCCCACCATCGTGGGTCTGAGTATCCCACCCACCCCCACCCCATGTTAGAGATAGGGGTTTCCTTTGTACCGACCTAGCCACATTTTCTAGCTCAACGCCACATACAGGAAATGCCAGGCTGGGTCCGAGCCTGCCTGCATCTGTCCCTCTGAGGCCGGTCGTACACCCCCCCCTCCCCTGCCACTTAAAAAAGAAACCCTGGGCTCATGGATGAAGGCCGTTAGCAGCAAACCTGGATATCTCGTTGCTGCTTATGCTCCTGATGGGTTATGTAAGGTGCCTTTTACGTGGTAGGTTATCTTATATCTGCCCACTGCCCACGGTAGTTTTGAGTCAACTTCTAGGCCAGCAATTAATGTCATCAGCCAGCCAATCAACGGACATTTGAGTTCATAGTCTGTGTTCAGGCACCTAACATTTAGGCACTACATTAGTGCTCGACTAACTAAAACAAATCTAAGGTTGCATTTAACTCACGTTTGCAAACTTGCCCAATCATTGGAATGACCTGGAGCACTCGATAAAATTCAGCGAATTCCCAGGGCGTCTGGGCGGCTCAGCTGGTGAAGCGTCCACCTTCGGCTCCGGGCCCGATCTTGACGTTTGCGAGTTCTGAGCCCCGCGTCGGGCTCTGTGCTGACAGCTCAGAGCCTGGAGCCTGCTTGGGATTCTGTGTCTCCCTCTCTTCTTGTGCTCTCTCTCTCTCTCTCTCTCTCTCTCTCAAAAAAAAAAAAAAAGTAAATAAACATTTTTATAAAAATTCCGTGAATTCCCAGAATTCACCCCACATCCCAAACCCATTCAGTTCAAATCTCTAGATTGCACGAAGAGCCTGGAACTGTGTGACAAGCCCTTAAACTAATTCTACTGCTACGGCAAACTTGGGAAATGCTGACCTGTATCAAACAGAACTAGAAAAACTCTCTGCCGTTTCTTCAGGTTCTAACCTGCCAACCAGCTTCCCCTCACCTACCCTTGCCCCTCTCAACCCACGTACACACTCACGGAGACCCATGTACACACGCACACACACCAAGGAGCGTGCCCACACGCATTCCTGTGCGCGCCTCTGTTGGGTGGGACCATGTGGAACCGCCATCTTTATAGGTCAAAACAGACAAATTCCAGCAGTTTCATAGGCTCGACCGGGCACCTATGCATACACAGGGGCGCAGAGATGCACCCGCACTCTCATATGACACACGCAAACACATGTGCACGCGTGCACCCACGCATGCAGAAAAATTCACCGACGCCCGTCCCCACGGCTGTGCCGGTGAGAATCCAGTCTGGGCTCCTCCGGTCCCCCCTCCCCCGATCCTGTGCTTTCCTTGATGCTAGTCTCAGATGCTGACCTGTCTCCCCACAGGAGAGTGAAGACCTGGAGAAACAGAACGCGGCTCTGCGCAAGGAGATCAAGCAGCTCACGGAAGAGATGAAGTATTTCACGTCGGTGCTAAGCAGCCATGAGCCCCTGTGCTCGGTGCTGGCGGCCAGCACGCCCTCGCCCCCCGACGTGGTATACAGCGCCCATGCCTTCCACCAGCCTCACGTCAGCTCGCCTCGCTTCCAGCCCTGAGCTCTGAGAGGCGGTGGGGGGCGGACGGAGCCCCCAGCCGCCCTGGCCGGCCTCGGGAGGGGCACACAGACTGTGGCCAGGCCGCCCTCGCCCCTCAGAGCCCTCTTTCCCTCCGGAGACCCAGAGGCGGAGGCCCGGACAAGGATCGAGCGCAGGACTGTACCGGCCGAGAGGGTGTGAGGTCACCCAGCGGCGTGGCCGCCTGTCAGCATGTGCCGGGCCCCGTGCGGACGGGAGGCCCAATCCAGAGTCAAATCCGACACGATGCCCAAGTCCCATGGCACAGAGGGAGGAGGGCAGGGTAGGGTTATTTTTCTAAATAAATTTCTTAAAAGCAACGGGTCTGGCAAGAGGTTCTCTTCTTTCATGTAGTCCCTTGAAAGCCTAGGTTCTGCGGGGGTGGGGGCCTTCTTTTGCTCTTGGTCTCAGCTCTGGGGACTCTGCTAATCTCTTCTTTTCCATGGTTTGGTTGGCCTACTTGGGAAGCTGGGTGTTTTTTTATTTTTTATTTTCTTAATGTTTATGTTGGAGACAGACTGTGAGTGGGGAGAGGGGCAGAGGGAGAGGGAGACACAGACCCCAAAGCAGGCCCCAGGCTGTCAGCACAGAGCCAGACGCGGGGCTCGAACCCATGAACCGTGAGATCGTGACCCGGGCCAAGGTCGGGCACTCAACCCACGGAGCCACCCAGGAGCCCTGAGCTGGGTTTTTTCAAAGCATCTTCAATCCTCCCTGTAGGCATCTTCTTGGTTCCCC